ACGAATGGTTCATGTTCCAATAACCTCTCATCGTATGACGCAATGGTTAGACTCAGGTCTCTTGGAGTCAGACTCTAGCATGAAAGATAATTTCCTTCATGTTCTAATGCTATATAATCTCATTATAACAGGTAGAAATGTCTAGCTACTGGCTGTTAAGCTGTAATGATGCTTTTACAATCCGTTTTTCGATTGCCTCGATCTTTCCTTCTTCGATATTTGACTAAAGTCAGACACTATGTCGAAATTACTTTGTAGATTAGTCGGACTCAATTCGAGATGACCACTAAGTTCGGAATATTTTTATATTCACTACCGAAATGAAGGTAATGATAGAAATGAACATAATGGTTCAATTACTAGATTCTTAGTAACCTTGTGACTTTCCCTTATCTAAGTGTGAGTCATGTGCTTCCGGTAGTATAGGCATCTACTACCTTACACACCTACTCATACTCGTACCAAGTATTGTCTCGCATTTCACTAAGTCACCGTACAAGAAGATCAGACAACAAATTAACACATTGATTCATATAACATAATTAGGGATTATATTATTTCTTGAGAACGATTACAAGATTCATTTATGCCTATTACATCACCTAATACTAATCATTTATCTTCTTCATATCCCAAACTTTGGATAAGCTGCTTTCTATTCTCGACCTATTGCTGTTTCGTCAAGGATAATATGATATGCCCTTGCCTTCGGCTTTGGTGGCACATTCTACCTTGCTACTTCTTTTTTCTTTGCGAAATTCTTTGAAATATGCCCACTATCTCCACATTCGTAACACTTCTTGTCATCAAACGTGTAATATCTTGAATAATGACCCATCCTTCCACATTTGTAGCAAGTCACTTCTCCATCGCATCTCCCATAACACTTGTTCCTACACTTCTCACACCACTTGGCTTCACTGCTACCTCCAGATCTCTTGTCATTGGGATCCGCTTTCGAGAATCTTCCTTTCTTATCATACTTTGAAGATCCTTTCAGCTTTGTTTTCTCTCCTTTCTCAGCTTTCTCCAAACCCTTTTTCTCTTATTTGGGTCTCTACATTCTTGACTGCTCAGATGGCTGCTTTCAGAGTAGTAGCTAGCTTCACCTTCGAACCAAAATCTTCTGGTAGTGCATTATCAAACTTATTCACCTTGGATAGTTTGGTATGAACTAGGTAAGGGACCAGCTTCATCTTCTCAGTAAAAGCTATTGCATACTCGCTGACACTTATCTTTCCTTTCTTTAAGTTCTGGAATTCATTATTGATTTCCAGAAGATCTTGCTCAACGCAATATTCCATCTTTAATTCTTCCAGAAAGTTTTCCGATAACGTCTCCCCTTCTTCTCCCTTTATCATGGAGTCAACTAGTTACTTCCACCAGCTTAATACTCCGGTCTTTAGTTGTCTGAACGCTAAGATGGTCTTCTGTCGGTCGCTATAGTCGCAACTCTTAAACACCATTTCCATCTCGGAGATCCACTCTAGAACTTCTATTGGTGTTGGGCTTCCAGAAAGACTTGACGACTTGCCACCCATGAATTCCTTGTACTTACATCCATCTTGCCTAACCCTTTTGTTTCGATTACTTCTCCTAACAATCGGGGTTCAGCTTGACTAACGGTCCGACTGTAATTTCCTTCTTTCGATTGCTCCCCATTGAGCTCTGGCTGCACAAAAAGTGCAGTGGGTTCTATCTCAATATCACGAATTAGTCGTCTTATCTCCTCTTTTTGTTCTGCCATCATGGCCCGCATCATTGCTTGGACTCTTGGTGTTGTTAGGAGTTTAACTACCGACACTACTTTAGGTGCATGATCGATTACACGGGGTTCAAGCTGACGATTTATGTTATTGTTTCCTAATCCACTACGTATCCTAGCCATGATGTTCTACATACCAAAGTAGTCATTCGAGATGAGGAATTTAAGATAAAGAAGGTTTAGACAGGTAATCCTCCTTATTACTCCAAAGAGCTACATGCCAGTTCTAATACCATAATTAAACGTTTAGAAATCTGAACACATAAAATTTCTTAATTCTAGGCCAGCAACAGACCCTATATCTGATAATAGCAACCTAGATAGGCGATCTAAGGCATCTTATATCTATAGCATGCATAAGTCATTTTGTACATTAAGCAAATTAGGCATCTTATCGTAAAGTAAGTTAATGCTCGTGTCAATTCAGGTGTACTACCTAAAATATAACAGACACGCATCTCATGATCATTGCTTAGCATTCTAAATTAAGTCTAGAAATAAATCCTTACTCCTAGTTCAATTAAACTAATGCTCTAATACCAGCTGTGACATCCCAAATTTAAGGTCATTTAAAAAAACTTATTTATGCTTATTTTGAAATAGAGTATTTCTTTTATTGCGGAATTGGTCCCAAAAATATGATTGACATGATATAATGTCAAATCAAGGTGTTTCAGAAGAAATGTTTTTCATTGATTTATAAAAGCTTGGGATGTCATAACTGATACAAAACATAAGCATAAACAAACATTTAATTTATACTAATGATCTACATCTTCTTTAATCTCTTAGTTTAATGTACATTCACATCGATACATGTGATACAAATAAACTGAGTGGGTCAAGTTGGAAAACCTGATGATATACATAAGAGCTCCGTTTTTGACGTTCTTTATATCCCCAGAAATCCCTCGACAACATCTACAACTTTCATTTAGACTCTGTCGGCTGGTTTTTACTTTATTTATTTCACACAGGCTTAGACTGTTAAACCCTGTATAAAATGCATAACTCTCTCATCCGGCGTCCGTTTTTTACTGTCTTTATACCGTTGTACTCCTATTAACGAGATCTTCTATTCTTGTTTATATTGTTTCAGCAAACAATCAACCGATTGAAATTTCGATTTCTGTGTCCGCACTGTTGTGCTGAAACTTTGAAAAACCATAACTTCCTCTTACGAAATTAGATTTGGACGTTCTCTATATGCACACTATCGGTTAATGACTGCTATGAATTTCATTTATATCACTAAGGCTAAAAAGTAATTTATCAAAAATTTGCTTTTTACGATACGCAGAGTTGTGTCGGTTTAATCGCGAAACTTTGAAGAAGCATAAATTTTTCATACTAATTCGGATTTCAACGTTCTTTATATGCACAAAATCATTATGAAATATACTTTAACTTGGTTAAGATTATTTATCCTAAATAATCTTCTATTAAAAAGTTATTTTTAACGTTTATTATCTCTAAATTGTCTAGTCTGAATCTGCGGGCGTTACAATTATCAAGAAGACTTCCTATTTAGGAAAATCCAAATCTGTTAGGTTCATGACAAGGTCTACTTGAGCGTCGTATAGTTGGTGTGTTATCGGGCATCTGAATGATAGTTTCAGGTTCAACAATGCCTTCTTGATTATCATTCTCAACTAAAGGTTGTGTTTCTCGAATTTATTCGAGATCAATGGGGCTCCCACTTGATTTATTCAAGATAAAGTCAGGTTCAAGAAACACTACTTTTCGGGCTATGAACATTCGATTCTCTTCTTTCTGGAAGAAGTAATAGCCCATGTTTTCTTTTGGGTATCCCACAAAAATACACTTTTTGGGATATGGGGTCAAGCTTGTTAGAAGTATCTCTTTTAATATATGCTTCACAACCCCAAATAATTAAGTAAGACATTTTTTGGGTTTCGTATTGTAAAATTGTATTTGAGTTTTGATGCGAAATGGTGTTCTGAGTTTGATGTAATATTTGCACTTGTAATTGCGATCAACGTATTTATGTTTGTATTTTTTGTACTTAGGTTCACAAGTTATGTTAGTTTGTTTTGAGAACTGTGTCATGCCTAGGTGTCCTGATCTTATTTGTTAGAAGCATAAGCGACTTCCTTATGTGTCATATATAAGGACAATTACTTAGGTACAATAGAGTTGTTATCGCTAGTTATTCCAGATGCTCGCCAAATCTGAAAAAAAATGTGTATTCCTTGGAAGCCCCCACCCATGTCACCATTCAATATTTCCTGGCCCACTATCGGCCAAACCACTTGGACACTAGGCCCAATGTGAGTAGGGTCGCTTAGTTATGTCATAAAGACAAGTAGAATGTTTAGAGAGAAAAAGTTTATTCTTCGTGTGTTTCTTTTATTAAAAATAAAGATTTATTCTTGATTGTGGAATGTATTTTTTTGATTGGATTTTGGATAAGTTTTGTTTTTTGTTCTTAGATATAATGGTAATCAGTGAAAATGATTTTGAATAATAACAAAAAAGAAAAAAATAATAATTTACTAAATAAAATAGATATATATATATATATATATATATATATATATATATATATATATATATATATATGTGGAATTTAAGTGGACAAGAACTCATGAATAGAAATCTCCTCAGACCCTCATTTAACCGGTCAAATACAAGTTTAAGGAGCTATAACACAGGAAAAAAACATTAGGGACCATTTAAAACCAAAAGTAAAAATTTATTGGCATTAACCCATATATTTAACGTTTAAAGATAAATAATCAAGGTTTATTAATTATTAGCAATTCCGTGTGCTGATCTTGGCTTTCCTGTTTCATATATTAGAACTTAGGGGATTGAAAAAACCATTTTGCTCCAAGTCTGTCAACTTGTAGAAAATGTGTAAAAAGTTTTTGTCCAACTTGGAATATAAATCCAACCATATATTAAAATAATAAATTATTGATGACTAATAGAGTAAGGAAGCTAACAAGTAACAACCATGGGTGACCCACTGCTTTCCCTGCACTAGAGGGCTGCTTTTAATCCACTAGTTGTTTCAAGAAAACAGCCAACTAAATTACAATACGTACAAAAAAAAAATTCCAACCATTACTAAATTATGCAATTTAAAACGACTGAGGTAGTCCACGCATGGTCAACTTGTGGAATATAGAATCTCAAAACTGAAATCTTCTACAGCTTGATAAACCCAATAAAATACTTACATCCTGGCTTCAGAAATCGTAAACAGCAAATGATGAGAGAAATATTCCTTCTATTCCTCCTCTTCTGTTCCTTGATCGAATCTTCAGCTTCAAAGAACACCATTAAAGACCATCTTCAGAGGGATTCCTCTCTATCTGTTGATGATAGTTCAGACGTCATAAGGTCCCCAGACAACACTTACACCTGTGGCTTCTATGGCTTCCAAAGCAATGCTTATTGGTTCGCAATTTGGTTCACAGACTCCAAAGAGCGCACAGTGGTCTGGACTGCCAACCGCAACACACCTGTGAATGGCCGTGGATCAAAGCTGACATTTAGGAAAAACGGAGCCATGGTTTTGACAGATGTGGATGGCATGGTCGTGTGGGAAACAAACACAACCTCCACAGATGTGAATAGAGCAGTGCTGCTGAATACAGGTAATCTGGTATTGAAGAACCAAAAAGGTCAGATTCGTTGGCAAAGTTTTGATTATCCAACTGATACTCTATTGCCTTCTCAAACACTAACAAAGAGAAAAAGCTTGATATCTGCTTTAAGAAAAGGAAGTTTTGAACCTGGGTATTTTGTTTTGAGCTATAACAGTATTAACGTGTTAATACTGACCTACGACAGCCCAGAAACAACAGTTTTGTACTGGCCTAGTCCCGATCCTGGATTTAATGTCTGGTCTTACGGAAGAACTTCATATAACAGCAGCAGAATCGCAGTCTTTGATGATTTTGGTGTATTTAGGTCAAGCGATCGGTGGCAGTTTAATGCTTCAGATATGGGTTTTGGGATCAAAAGAAGGTTAACCATGGACTATGATGGTAATCTCAGGATTTATAGCTTGAACGATTCAACTGGATTATGGTCGATTTCATGGCAAGCTATTGCACAACCATGCAATGTTCTCGGAATCTGTGGGAGAAACGGGATCTGTGATAATGGAGTACTACAATCGGAATGTTCATGTCCACCCAACCACCAGCAGACTAACCCTACTGATGTAAGTCAGGGTTGTAAGCCTACTTTCAATACAACATGTTCAAACTCAACAAAGTTTGGATTTTTGGAAATGCCGAATACAGATTATTATGGCTTTGATTTAAATTCAATAGATGCATTCTTACCAACTTCGTTCGATGCTTGTAAGGATATGTGTTTACGAAATTGTAGATGTATAGCATTTAGTTACAGGTTAACTGGTGAAGGATTTTGCTTTATTAAAAATGCTCTTTTCAACGGCTTTCGGTCTCCTAATTTCCCAGGAAGCATCTACTTGAAAGTACCAATTGACATGGAAACAAGAGAATCTGTCTCAGTTCTTACTGGCTCTAACGCCACATGTGTAGAGGTCGTCACAGTCATGGTGGGTTCTCCATCTATGTATGAACCATCTGAAACAAAGGTGAAATGGGTTTATCTTTACTCCTTCGCTATAGCTATTGGTGTGGCTGAAGCTTTTGTTATCTTGTTAGGGTGGTGGCTTTTTTATAGAAAAAATGCCCTCCTAACCAGCTTAGAAGAGGGGTATCGTATGGTATCAAGTCAGTTTAGGGGGTTTACTTATCAAGAACTGGTGAAGGCGACACAAAACTTTAAGGTGGAGATAGGGAGAGGAGGCTCAGGGACTGTGTATAAAGGGGTTCTGGAAGATGAAAGGGTGGTGGCTGTGAAAAGGTTAAGAGATGTGAGCGAAGGTGGAGAGTTTTGGGCAGAAGTGAGCACAATCAGTAAAATCAACCACATGAACTTGGTGCGAATGTGGGGTTTATGTTCACAGAAACAACACAGACTTATAGTTTATGAGTACGTGGAAAATCTTTCTCTTGACCAGAGATTGTTCTCCTCGAGTTTTCTTCAATGGAAAGAAAGGTTCAAAGTTGCCATAGGAGTAGCAAAAGGTTTAGCTTATTTACACCATGAGTGCCTAGAATGGGTGATTCATTGTGATGTTAAGCCAGAAAACATTCTTTTAGATGAATCGTTCGAACCAAAGATTGCAGATTTTGGTCTGGCAAAGTTGACTCAAAGAGGTGGTCAAAACTCGGAGTTTACTAGGATTAGAGGAACAAAAGGATATATGGCTCCAGAATGGGCTAGTAACCTTCCTATCACGGCAAAAGTTGATGTGTACAGCTATGGGGTTGTGGTTTTAGAAATGACAAGGGGAATTCGACTTTCTAATATTGTTGTGCAGGAAGGGGAAGAGGAAGAAACCGAGCTTATGAGGTTTGTAAGGGTAGCGAAAACGAAGCTTCAAGGAGAAGAAATGGAGTCATGGATTGAAGAGATAATTGATTTGAGGTTGGGAGGATTGTTTAGTAGGAAGCAGGCTGCAAAACTTGTTGAGATTGGTGTAAGTTGCGTGGAGGAAGACCGCAATAAAAGGCCTACTGTGGATTCAGTTGTTCACGATCTAATCGATTGCGAGTCGGAGTAGACATGCTACGTACTGTTTGTTTTGGTATTCCTGTGTAGTTCAGGGTTAACCTTTTATAGTCATACGTAATTGAAGGCTTACTATAATTAGTTATATTGTTTAATAGGAGGTGTGATTTCTTTGTTTTATCATCTTCAACTACATTACTATCCATGTTAAACGCATTACAGAATAATTATTAAAAAATCAGGGTTATTGGTATTATTAAAATGTGTCGAAAATACATTGAAATTGGTAAAATATATATAGCCGTTGAAGGACCTCTTTATAGACAATATTTTTTTGATTTATTAGTTGAACGGCCTTTATCATCACATATGAATACATTCAAACCTTTTTTACTTGTGACATGGGAAACAACTACATAAAGCTGACCACGCGTGAAAACGGGTTTACATAAATATAATCCAACATTTGAACAAAGTACTTTCAAAATACATTGTTATTTTATAGATATATTGCGAAATAGAATTAGTTATTTCAAAAAATAGCAACTTATTTATGTTCCTTCAAAATGAACGACATAACCCCCCCCCCCCCCCACCATCTGGCACAGGGCTAGTTTTGGGCTTGATCAATAAACCAAATACATTTAGCGGTACAGAAAAAGTGCCACTAAAAACAAAAAAAAAATGCCACTAAAAGTCATTTGGGCAATCAGCGGCACAAAAAAAAAGTGCTACTAAAAACGCTGCCACTAAAGGCCTTTTTTGGTACTTTTCAGTTGTATCGCTGCAGCCTTATTATGTTTTAGTGGCACTTTTCTATTATGCCACTAAATTATTTGTAGGTTGTAGTGGCACTATTTTTTATGCCACTATTTAATTGCTAAAATAAATTTTATTTTCATTCTTTTAGTGACACTTTTTTAACACAAAAAAAGTTATATTAATAAATTAGGTCATAATTTTTTTAATTTTATATGGAATATAAAATAATAATAAGACAAATAAAATAAAAATAGAAAATCACAAAATCACTACTTCATTTCAAACTTTTCTAACAACAATATTCTCATTATTTAAAATACAAATGTCTTCAAAATAAATGTTGTGCTAGTACTCAAAATATAATACTATGGAACTAAATACTAGTTGAGGAAGAAACACAAAACTTGATTGATCTCAAACTAAATATTAGCATGCAACTTCAAGAGCTTCCCATTGTTTGTTGATGCTTACTTTACAAGGATTTTCAAGTGTTTGCCCATTGTTTTCTTGATTTTCATTCTTTGAAACCTAGAATTGGAAAGGGAAACAAAAATGTTAACCACGGAAAACAGATTCATGAAGCTATTAGTGTCTAATTGGGTAAAGTTAAGCCGATTTATTCATTATTAGAAAAGAAGTATACTTTATTTATAAGGTTATCCGGAGGGACATCATTGCACATTCAGTCACTTTACACATAACAATAATAAGCAAATGAACTAGTATGTAGAGAAATGATTAATAAGCTCCTGAAATCCTAAAATGGAATACCAATTTGAGCAATATTCTTCACAATCCTTCTCTTCTTATCAATCCAAAAAGCATACTTTATCTGGTTAAAAAGAAGAACCACCAAAGTACATTGTTGTAATAATATGCAAAATCATCTCATAAAAGTTTTAAAAAATAAAAATAAAATAAAAACTTCTAAAAATTAGGCATGTGTTTACCTTGCCGATAAGTGACACAACACACACGGATGTCATCTAGGTATGTTTCTTGTACATCCATCATCCATGAACCAACTCATGTATCTTCATGATTATAAGTCTTTATAAAAAAAGTAAGCCACTTGCATCCCAAAAGTACCTGCTCAATATAAATTTTTATAAAAAAAAAGGTATGTGCTTTTACATGATTTAAAACAAAAACGAAATTATCTACGATTTTCTATCACCAAAATTCCACTAATCAGATTCATACTTCATACCATTGCTTTCCCCTAAAAGCTTATATAAAATGTATGTTTTGTTTTTTTACATTGTATTTGTTTTGATAAATAAAGTGTACATACGATTTAGAAACTACTTCACCCAATTTCATGCATCAAATATAAACTTACAAGAATCAATAAATATTTTGTTGTGCGATTTTCTTCATCAATATTGCAATCCAAGCTATCACCAGAATTAGGACTAGCATTTTAAAAAGTTCTTTGATAAGATATGAGCTTGCCCGACTAATATCAATAGTAAATATTAAGTTAAACATTGAGTAACATCGCTAAAAATGTATAAAAGGCAAAAACACAATAAAAAAATGAAACAGCTAAAGTGAATAGGAAAACCTTTGGTCAATGATAAAACATATGCCAATTTCTCTTTCTTCAAGCTTCTTTAAATAATCATCTGTTAATTCAAGTATTCAAATGGCTTAGTAAGTCATTTTCATATTAATATATAAAGATTGTATTTTTAGTACATATGTATTAAGAAAAGGAGTGAAAAGTGTACATCTACACTGAGTAACAAAAAAACGTCACTCAAAACAAAACTAAAAAGAATTCAGATACAAGATAAAATAAGCATATTACCATTTTGTATTGGATTTATCAAACCATTATTTCTTAGTAATTTTGACTTCTCGTTATGTATATTGTTCATAAGATGAAGGGATTAAACTTTTATCATTTAGATTCATGAATCTAGTAGTTGTTGAGTAGCATTTTATCTATTGCAATTGATTAATCATCTTCACCTTCTTCTTGATTAGATTATGAACTTTAACTTGTACTTTTTATCTCAGACATTTCATCAAACAGGTTATGTGCATCAGAAATTCCATCTCTATTTTGGAGCTCTTCATAAATTAGATGTAGTGTCGTCTCATTAATATATTTCTTGATTTCAACTTGTTCTCCATCTGATTAACATAATTCTTAATTACGCCAATATCCCGTTAAAAATTACACCTAGTCGGCCCAATCAAGTAATCAATAAAGACCAAATCTAATCATACCTTCGAATATGTCGATGTAGAAGAATTGAGAGTAGATGAATGAAGCTAAATCCATATCCGATAGCAAAACTGATTGCTTTGTCCAAGTTGGTCACCGGCATATCCCAACTCAGGTTGTGGCTTCGTCCAAGGTGGTCATCGGCGTTGGATGCGACAACGACGACGGGAGTCCGGCGGTGAGTTGGTGACGACGAGGACTGCTGGTAAGTAGAAGACGATGATGGATGACGACTGGGGGTGATCAACGAAGGAGAACGTAAGACGGGGGATGAATTGAGAGATTATCTATTAGTTTTTCTCTTAAAAAGTTTTCCTTAATTTTTTTTTCTATGTTTAAAAAAGATATCGCTGAGATATTATCAAATTTTGGAAAGCCCGCGCGTTTTTTTGGTATGTTGAAAAATTTAGACATAAAGGCGGGGAAAATAAGAGGGAAACAATAATTCATTTTTAAAATATATAGTGTCACAACCAAATATGTGCCACTAAAAGATATGCTATAGTGGCACAAAAGTATTCTGCCACTAAATGTAATTTTATTTGTAGTGTGTACACCCATATGATCTTGAATATTTTACTTTAGGCCATCGATGTAACGTGATGCTTGTTATTCTTTTGTCTCATATGTAGATCGTACCTACAACCGCATAAACTTGGCAATATATTTCGTAACAGATCAGTTTCTTTGAGTGTCATTTTTATTAGCATCTTCATGGGTGTCACTCTTCCACCAAACACGTCTTTTGTCGTGTCCGACCCTTTTAAACATGGTCCCACCAAGCTCCGACTCTAGCAAAAAGTTTTTAGGCGACGATCTTCACATGTCGATGCTATGGGATATCCATGATATTGAAAAATTTCTCGACCTCGTATAACCAGACGAGAATACCTTCAAGGTCCATATTCCCATTGAAATTAAGGATCTTCGCCTTGATTCGGTAGCCCAATCCATAATCATTATTTCCCCCTCTACCACAACAATCAAACCATTCTTCATTTTCTTCATCATAAAATTAATTCTCATGGACTACTCTTGTCTTGTTAGCAGGAGGACGCCAACCTCCCCTAGCACCACTACGGGTGTTGTTTTGTTGCCTTTGATTATCGTCATTGTTTCCAACCTCATAATTTCCACGGTTATTACGATCATCTACGATCATGATACGTAGTTCAGTCAGCTAGTTAATAAGAGCATTATTTGTCTGCCAAAGATCTTCAACTGTGCTACCCCGACCATTAGGGTTTGGTTATGGACCATCTTTAATGTTGTTCGCCATCAAGATGCAAACGTGCTCTAATACCAACCGATGCAAAACAGAAGCAAGAACAATGAAATTATTCAATAAGACTTTATTACTCAATTCATGATGCCTATAAAAGGCTTACAAATCCTTTACATAGAGGTTGTAAAGGGATCTAATTTGGCAAGTATGCCAAATTTTGGAAAACGAGAATTAACGTTAAATTCCTCCAATTAAGCTTCTAAATAAAAGTAGGAAATTCGTAAAATAAAGAAAGCATATATTTTCCCAAAATAAAATAAAAACGGAAACCGCCCGAAAATTAGGGAAAATTGAGATTTTGAAGCCTAAACAGTGGGATTTGAGGATCAACCATTCGTTGACAGAGCTCCGTGTTACGGACCAAGTTTCTGGAAAATTCTACAATCGTTCTAGAGAACTCTGGAACGATCAAGTATACTCAAGAAGTCACCGGAGAGATCAGGAATGCTCTACGAGACCCTGGAAGATGCTAGAATATTGTAGATGTCCGTGGAACAAAGGAAAACGATCCAGAATAATCAAGAGGACGCTAGATGAAGCTAGAACGACCCGGAAGACTTTGGAATGATCTAGAACATGCTAGATCATACAAGAGCTGTGACATCCCCATTTTCACGGCCAGAAAATACCGATTTTGTTTATGCTTTATAAAAATCAGAGTACTTCTTTTAATAAAAATGTTGCGGAATTTTTCCCAGAAAAACATGATAAATATATTATCAAAGCATTTCCGAAGAAATGTGTTTTTATCCATTTTAAAACATTTAGGATGTCATCGTCAATACAGAAACATAACCATAAACAGAACTTACATTCATAATCACTAGTGATTTATATATCATTAATCTCTCAGTGTAATGTAACTTCATATCGACGCTTGTGATTCAAATAAACTGAGTGGGTCAGGTTGGGAAACCTGGTGAGTACATAGGGTTTTCAACTCATAATAAATAAGTTTATTAACCTTATCAAACCAATCAAACCCGATTACCCTTTCCCGTTATCCTCACTTTACGTCTCTAAAACATCTAGCACAAGGGACCTAGTCTAAAGACTTTCATCGGGGTGACAACACATGCTTCAGGGGTTCCTCAGAAATTCATGTCAAATAAGGCAACCATGTGGGGGGATGGAGAACTGTTGATGAGCACACAGTTCAAATAAACACCTACAGGTTGCGAGCCTGCTAGCGTTCCACTGGACTGTCTAAAATAGTCTGTGGTCGTCATCTATACTGTAATGCCCGTGTTTCTGGCCTAAACATTAGTATAGTGATGTAATAGTCAGGTCAACCATTGTAACCTATTTTGAAGTAATAAAGATGAATTATTTGAGTAATACGTGAAGTATGTGAATTTATGTGCTTATTACTTGTTTATAATGATATAATAAATAAAGCATAAAAATAAGCGTCAAAAATAAAGTGTTAGATAAACCCAATATCGATGAAGAAAGTTGTATTGGTCGTGACAAGGATTCTGAACATATAAAGAACGCCGAAATCCGAGTTATAACGAAGAAGTTATGACATGTCGAAGTTTTACGACAAAACCGGCACGACGCTGTGTGACGTAAATAGTGAATTTACGATAGAGGACTTTTTGGTCTTAGTAATCTAAACCAAAGTTGTAGTATACGTTAAACCGAGAGCGTGCATAAAAAGAACGCCCAAATCCGACTTCGTATGAGGAAGTTATGAATTTTCTAAGATTTGGCTTAGCAGTTCACAACCCGAAACTCAAATTTTAGATCGAACAGTTTTTAGCCTACGCGACCTAAATGAGAAATGAAGATCTCATTAATAGGAACTCAGCGGTAGAAAGACAGACGAAAAATGAGTCTGTATGTAGAAGTTATGAATTTTACGCGGACATTTAACAGTATAATCTCCTCGTACTGTTAAATTTAAGATCGGTCTAGAATTAGCAGACGGAGTCAAAATAAAAGTTGTATATCTTATTTTTACCTACGCATGGATATAAAGAACGTAAAAAACGGAGCTCATATGTGAAAGTTACGGATTTTAGAAGTCAGAAGTGTACTGTGCGAAAATGGATGACGTGGCACAATCTTGGCCATTGCTTTCTCCCCAAGTCTTGCCTCCAGATGGTGACATGTGGCACCAAGCTCAGCCATATTTCACCCTATAAATATAACCTCTCCCACCCTCATTTTCTTCACACATTTCTCATTCTTTCTTCTCTCTACTCTCTCTCTAAACCTCCCAACACCCCCCAAGCCCTAGGGAACTCCCCTAGCGCTAGAAGAAAGCCCCGGAGTGCTCGACGGCTCCGAGAAGAAGAACTTTTCGGCTCGGGAATGCTGCTCCAAGCGAAGCCAGGTTTTCGAGAAAACCCGTTGTAAGTGAGCTACGCCTACGCTATTTTTAATATAGCTTTTAATTAATTAAAGTATCGTTATTAGGACCTTATAATAATTATTTGGGCTATTATTATGAGTTATATAAGTGTCGTTATAATATCTTTTTAACTACTCACGGTACGGGGAATCTGGTTTAAAGGGCTGCATAGGGTTGTTGGATTTCAGAAGTGCTATATGCCAAAATGGTTCTGCCCTCCGGTGTTTTATGTCTGACCCCTGTCTGTACATAGTGGTTGGAAAATATTGTTTAAACGCTTATATAATAATAATAATAATAAGACTAATAATTAGTCACGGTAAATATTAGACTAAAATCTAGTGGTAATAATACTAGGTTTCGTCGAAGGAAATTATTTTTAAGAAGCGAAGCGTTGTCTGAGTTCGGAATCACCATCTTTTCAGGTGAGTGCATAGTTACTTTCATCTTATACATAGATATGCAGTATTTAATATAAACTACGTGCTATGTGTGCATATTGTCTGAATACTTGCTGTCTATGCTGATGAAAGATTTTTATACATGTTTTAAATGATTTAAATTGTATATGTATTTTATATCTACAAAAATGTTGGGGTAAAACATGGATAGATATAATAGACGATGTGTGATAAAATGATGAGAGGCCTCGACGTTGTTGTTGTTGATTCTGTCATCTAGCGGAGTATAGATGACGACCACAGACTCTTCTAGACAGTCCAGTGGAACGTTAGCAGGCTCGCAACCTGTAGGTGTTTGTGAACGATGTATTCACCGGTGTACTCCATCCCCCTCATGGTTGCCTTAAGGACATTTATTGCTTAGGAATCCCCTTAGAAGTAGTGTCCATCCCGATGATGATCCTTAGGTTAGGTCCCTTATGATAGGTGCTTAGGGACGTAAAGTGAGGATAACGGGAACGGGTAATCGGGTTATTGTTGGTTGATGAAATTAAATAACTTATTTATTGTGGGTTTTAACCCTATGTGCTCACCAGGCTCCCAAGCCTGACCCACTCAGTTTCATGTATTACAGGTAGTGGCGCTCGAGCATAGATGTGATGTTTTGGATGAGGGATTACGGATATAGGCCTGTAGATATGAATAAATGTAGTAAGGCTTATATTGTACTGTTTATGCTTTTGATATGTATCGAACATGACATCTCGAGGTTTTTTAATCAAATACATTTCTACGGAAACGCTTTGATAAATCTTTATCATATTTTATTTTGGGAACAAATTCCGCAACACTTTTATTTAAAATGTTACTCTGATTTTTAAACAAAGCATAAACAAAATCGGTCTTTTCTGGCCGTGAAAATGGGGATGTCACAGTTGGTATCAGAGCATTAGTTTAAGCGAACTAGGAATTTGTAGGATTTCTAGACTTAAACTTAGAATGCTAAGCGATGATTGTGAGAGGAGTGTCTAGTATATTTTAGACACAAGCACTAGTTTATTTTAGGAAAGATGCCTAAAATGCTTTTATGTGCTATATACTATTATTTGTTCAGATCTATGGTCTATTGCCAACCGGATCTGTTAACCTTATGTGTTCAGGATTCTAAACGTATGACTACGATATTAGAACTAGCATGTAAACGTTTCAGAGCGATAAGGATGATTTAAACGTCTATCCTAAATAAAGATCTAAATTCACCTTATTCGGTG